TTTAATTCTATTATTACTTATTGTTATAATATTTACATATAATTTAAACTATCTAATTTCTTTATTTAAAAAATTATTTATGATCTAGCTTGTAAGTATTTCTATTGTTATATATATTATATAATATTTATTTGGTAATTTAATTCTTTCATTTAAAAAATATCTGTTACTTTAGTTGGTAAGTTGTAAATTATAGATTATTATATGTACTTATCCAAAAATTAAGACTCATACTACATTAAATTTCTATTTAAATTTTAGAGTAAGTAATAATTTATTTTAATGTAAATTATAATACAATCTATAATATAATTTTAATTATTTAAATATATAGATTTGTGAAAAGTGGAAATGCAATTATAGATGATTTTATTCTTAAAAAAAAATTAAAATGGTTTCCTTATTACAAATTTAAAAATGTTAAATATCTTAAAGAAGGAGGATTTGGTACTATATACAAAGCTATTTGGTTGAAAAATAATGGAGATGAAGAAGATGAAGAGGATGAAGAAGGTAAAGAAGTAATTCTCAAATGTCCCAAGAATTTAAATGAAAATTTAAATGAATTTTTAAAAGAAGTATGATAATATATTATTTTCTATTTTTAATTTAAATTAAAATTTATTTGTATTAATAATAATAATTATTATTTTTTATAGTGGGAATATCATACAAGTGTTTTAACTTCAAGTGATATTATAGATGTTTATGGATTCACAGAAGATCTAAATACTTCAAAATATATGGTAGTAATGGCGTATGCAAATAAAGGTAATTTAAGACAAAATTTAACAAGAATAGTCGAAAATAATTGGAATCAAAAATTATATATGTTGTACGAAATTATTTCTGGGCTTAGTAAGATACATGGAAAAAATCTTATTCATTGTGATTTTCATGATGGTAATATTTTAAATCATAATGATGAGAATAAGGATAAAATTTATATTAGTGATTTAGGATTATGTCAACCTGTAAAATCGTTTTTGAAAAAGTATGATATTTATGGTGTTATACCATTTATGGCTCCTGAAGTTTTAAGAGGCAAACCTTATACTCCAGCTAGTGATATATATGGGTTTTCTATGATTATGTGGGAACTTACATCCGGGGTACCACCATTTAATGATAGAGCACATGATATTCAACTTACTTTAAGTATTTGTAAAGGTGAACGTCCTGAAATCATTGAAAATACTCCACAATGTTATGTAAATTTAATGAAAAAATGTTGGAATGAAGATCCATTAAAAAGGCCATCTGCATTAGAGGTGAAAGATATTATTGACAATTGGATTTTCTATCCTTATGAAGTCAGTGAAGAATTAAAAAGCAACATTATTGAATTTATAAATGCACCAATTGGGCGTAACAAGCTTGCTACTAAATCTCACTCTAAAGCATGTTATACAAGTCGCTTACTTGATTTTACTAGTAAAAAATTGAATGAAGTTCTTGAAAGTGAAAATTTACAAGCATATTGTGCAAGTCATTCAGATTTGAATGATTGTGTAATTAATGATTCGAGGTCATTAGGTATATACTATAATATATAAAAATTAATCTTGCAAATTATTTATATGAAATTAATTAATTCATTTAATTATTAAAACAGATGAGAGTACTAGTAAATTGTTGAATGAAATTCTTGAAAGTGAAGATTCACAAGCTACTAGTGTAAAAGCAAATAAAGTGCTAGTAAGTGAAGATATGAGTGATTATATAATTAAGGATTTGGGGTCATTGGGTATGTACTATGATATATAAAAGGAATTAATCTTGCAATTGCAAATTATTTATATAAAATTAATTTTATTTAATATTTAATTATTTAGATATTAAACCAGATGAAAATTAACTAATCATTATTTGTTTTTAAAAAAAATTTATAGTTTTTTTTTAATTGATATTTGATATTACACATTCAAAAGAAATTGTTCTTTATTTTATTCTTTTTAATTTATTTAAACACTAAGGCTAGAGTAGTAAAATATTTTACAAGTTATTTAGTTTGTAATTTAAATAATTCCTTTTTTTTAGCTTTCACTTTTTTATTATACTTAGAATTATTTAAACACTAAGACTAGAGTAGTAAATATTTTACAAGTTTCTTAGTTTGTAATTTAAATAAATCTTTTTTTTTATAACTTTTCCAATTACGAGATATAAATTATCAAAATAATAATATAAAGCTATTATTATTTTGGCGACTCTGCCTGTCACCATGACGACCCACCTCATATCATGTGATTTTTAATTTTTCCGATTTTTTCAATATTTATTTTTTTAATTGGTATTCTTAATACTTTTTTTTACAGGTAAAAAATTGAGAAATTTTTAATAATAAACAAACAAATTAATGAATAAATAAATAAATGAGATTAATAAACGAATGAATAATAAATGAATAAAAGCATGAATAAAACAAACAAAACTATTAAAAATATAAAAATGATCATGATTTCTTTATACAATTTATATATATTTTATTGAAAATTCAATGTGTATATGTTATAATTAATGCTCATATATTGTAACTAAGTAATGATTAGGTGATAAAATTGATATTATCGGGAAATATCTTACAGATATCACGTGATTCAATCATTTTAGCTAAGAATATCATGTGAAATAAAAAAATTTGTCTAGTTCTTAAATAAAATATTACATCAAATCTTTATACTTTATATTTACAATTGAAGTAATTTATTCTTATTCAATTAATAAAAGAAAGCATTTCCTAAATGGAAAAATAGTTAATATTCTTAAAAAGAAAGAACACCGAAAAAAGAATGAGGAGTTACTTGTTTCTTTTCCATCTAAGAATCGCTCCCAAGAGTCTATAGCCATCCTGCAAAAACAAATAAATGGAAAAATAGCAAATGTTTTTTAAATAAAAAAAATATCATCCCCATCTAAGTCTCACCTTCCAACTTGAATCCACAATCCAAGAGTCCATTCTACAGAAAGAAACGACGTTTAGTAAATGTTATTGTAAAAAGACCCAATTCTATTCACCTCAAGAAGCTATTCCAATACTAGTCTTCAAGGTGATTGTCACTAAAAGAAAATAAAATGAATGTTAGTAACGTTCTTGGGATGACTTCTTCCTTTCCAATTACCTCAATATTTAAGAAGCCATTCCAATAGATTGTGACATTTTGTGAAATGTAAAGAGATACAGACTTTTCCCTTTTATTTACCTCAACTCTCAAAAAGCCTCAATAGTCCTCAAAGTGTATTCCCTTAAAAAAAAAAAGAGTTCTTGATAAGAGTTCTAGACTCTCCTCTTCAATTTCCCTTTACCTCAAGAAGTTTCAAAGTGGTTATCCTAAAAGAAAAAAAAAACACTAATAATGTTCCTTTAAAGAGTCCAGAAATCTCATTCTTCCATTTACCTCAAAAAACAATTCCCACGTTAAAGTAACGTTTTTTCTTAAAAAGTGTACGTTAATAACATTCCTGAAAAGGGACCGGCTTTTCCATTTACCTTAAGTAGTGGTCTCTAAGGCCGGGCAAAAAAAAATTTTAGATTCTCGTGACCCGGCCGGGTCAGTTTTTCGAAAAATGGGAAATTTTTTTTTATAGTAAAAAATTTTATAACGTGATTATAAGTTATTGGCCAATGTGGCGTAAAAAAATTTTACATATAAAAAAATTTTACAAATATAAAAAAAAATGCCGGCCGGCCGGGTCATTTTTAAAATTTTATGTCCCGAGAATCTAAAAATTTTTTTTGCCCGGCCTAATGGTTGTACTTTAAATTTATAAAAAGGGAAATCTTATGCAATATATACGACTGAAAAAATTATTTTTTTTTATTAAGAAAATAATTTTTGTTTATAAAGGGTAAAAGGGGTTCAGATGATCCGACGTCAATAAAAATATTCATCCGATCTATCTGATTTATCTATGGAAAGCCGCCATGGTCAAAAGTGCGTAGCAAAACATAGCGTGTATACGCTATGTTTTGTAGCGCGTATACGTTATATTTCACGGCGGGTTACCCCTGTTCTGTCTGTTTC